ACATTTGAGGAATCAACTTAAGGGCTGGACTCATCATTTTGCCATCCATCTTCAGAGAAAAGATTGAAGACTACCAGTACATCACTTTGGAAGAGGTAAGCATCTGAACTATAGTAAGATCTTGTTCAGTTAAGTGAAGAGGAAAGGGAAAATGGGGAAAAAATAAGAAATTATTTTTTATTATTTACTGTTCGATATTTACAATTTAAAGTTGTATTGCGTAATATTTTAAACTTGTAACTTAACACTAAGGTCTGTGAATTATTTTAGATAAATAAATTGGTACAATATTAATTAATTAATTTTGTAATTTATACAGAAGGATTCTGCTACACCCTATGCAACAAATCAACTCATGGATAAAGAGTGGAAGACTGCGATGACCAGTGCTGGGCTCAGTGTGGTGAAAGCAGATGGAGTACATGTGTGCCCCTACATGGATCCTGATGAAGCCTGTAAAACAGCTTTCAGTATGTACTTTGTTTTCAACACTGCTCACCACACCTGATAAACACCCTGACCCAGAGGTGCATTGTAGAAGAGGGAGACAAGACTTTGCCTTTAACTGTACTCAGAGACATTACCAATCTGTGCTAGATCATCATGCCTCAGTTGTGTGTCTGCCCCAAATGCATGCGAAGGACCGTTACTCTAGTTAAGTTAATCCAGCACATTGGGCTTGTTCATGTCCATTAACCAGGTTTTAAGTATCATCTGTGGTATTAGTGAATACCAGGCAACTTTTTCCCAGTTCCAATCTTTTAGGAAAAGTGTGTACAGGAAGCATCAATGCTCTGTCTTTTAGTCTTCTGACACTGAGGGGCACGGTGAGGATGCCAGTGCAGAACAACTTATACTGTAATCAACAAGATTCTGAAGTAGAACCATGTGCTCCTGATCCTCAAATATTTGAGCCAAATTTAGATGCACCACTGGTGGAGATTAGAGATAATCTATTCAGTTTTGTTTTTAAATGCAGAGAGAAAAACCTTTTACATTTGTCAGTTCAACAAGAGATAACTGATGATCAATTTTTTTCTTCTTTTTTTTCATTGAAAACTATGATATTGCTTATCTTGAAAAAAAGCAGTTTTGATGTTTCAAAATGTTCTGAACTTGAGCAAGTTTTACCTGATTGTTTTGATGGTGACTGAAGAACATTGTAAGGACAAGATGGACTATACAGAACCTGTGCACTVTGTGGGAACACATGAAGGACTTAGTCTTATGATTTTAATCTGAAGTTTTGCAGAACTACTGTTCTCATGAATATGTCTGGGATGAAATAGTATCTGAAACAAATGAAATCAAAGATAAAGATACTCTGAAAAATTAAGGAACGTGTTTTTCAAGGAGCATCCAAATGCTTTAAGGCTTCATTTATAAGAAGATGAATTTGAAATTGTTCACTCTTTAGAATCAATGAGAGCAAAATATAAGTTTTGTACATTTTACTACACTATTGATAACAGTTTCTATGTTGGATTAAGATGTTCTGCATAAACATTTGTACAAATTTTGCAAGGGTATCGGACTATATAACGAGACAACCTGCTTGTAACACATCCTCTTTGTTCTACTCAGTTGTATATTGTTTAGCTTTTGTGGTAAAGACAAATGTTTTTAGAACATTGTACTAATAGAATACACTGAGAATGGGCATGTTCACATTTATCT